ACAACCAAACAACCTCTGTTTACTCTTAGAAGACGGTGAAAATTATGCATAAGTTAAAGTGAAAGACGGCTGCCTGGTGGCTAAGTGCCAATAACAGATATTGGTCTGACCAAAATTTGAACCCGAGACCACATGATCAGTATTCGCGCTTACATCCACTAGACTAACGTTGAACTCAAAAATTAATATTTTGTCGATTTAGATATGTAGACGTGACGTGTGTTAATCATATCTATACAATAAACCCCTTTGAATAAGTTAGAACGCCTCCTCAACAAATGTTTGAGATTCATTTACGGCTTACGTAAGTATGATTACCCATATTTGCTATTACCATTCCCAGCTTCAATGCTTTTGTCAGAGGCGTAGCTCCCGAATTTAACTGGTACTATATTAGATTTTAAATGATATAAATTCTACTTCTTATCTAAATAATAACTTTCAATACTTATCTTAATTCTACTTTTAATCGAGTACTTCGTTCCAACAACAGTCTTAAAATCCGTAGGTATTCCACAACATAACAGTGATATCTACAATTATTTTTTACTGTACAGTCCATACTGCTTAAGAACGCCGTTTATGTTTATATAAAAAAGCTGTATTAAAACGATTTAAAAAAAAACTAGTAAGAGAACAATTATAAAAAGGAAACTTCGTCTGATTGATCCGACTTTTCGTTTTCTCTCTTACAGTTGTTTTGTGTACGTATTGTTATTATTATATATTCTTAAGTATGCAATCGAGATAAACTGGATGAGGAAGCCAGGAGTATCGTCCTCATACCCTTACAGTCTATACAAAGTTCACAGCTGAACCAAGGCCTCCCTAAAAGTTTGTTTCACAGGGGCGAATTGCCATAGTTGCCTCGCTTGGGGGGCGGATTCGCAACCGCAGTTCTTTATTTTAGTGTGTGAAGACAGACACTGCTGCCCATCTCCTGGTTGGTTTTCCTGTGTCGCCTCTTACGATACCCACGGTAATGGACATTATTACACCGCTAGTACATATAATTTAATAATTTATATAACTGCGCTTGTCAACTCGACTGCCCGTGAAGCAATCTGTGGGGAGCTTCCCATGTGTATGTGTATCTTCAGCAGACTGTAATAAATGAATGCATGAATCCTATGCCTTTTTGTATTGTATTATAATATAGTGTTTAAATTTTTTGCTCTACTATTCCTTGTATGTTTAGTTAGTGATTGAAAGCACCTTCAATTATGATTTACATGTGGTAGAGCCATGCTGCAGCAATATTATGGTTGTAACACGAATGGGTTGGCTCGACCGAGAAAGGACCACGCTCTCACAGAATACCAGAGTAAAATAGCAGCTTAACACTGCTGTGTTTCGTATGGTGAGTGTAGAGAACGGGAGACCCTTTTTACTGAAAACGAGGCATTCCATCTTAGTCCTCACGGGTGACAACGCATCTGCATTTTGATTCGTAATCGAAGATAGATGTATATGTCTATGGGCCACAGCAATACCACTTACCATCAGGTGGACTGGTGGCTCGTGTGTGACCGTTATCCTATAAAAAAAATCAAAGGTATTTACAATAAATAATAAAATCACATATTAATACATATCACAATTTAAAATTTTAAAAAATTCTGTCTGACTCTGACTGAGTAGGAGAATTCAATTACCAAATTAACATTTACTTATTTTGCGACAGTGAAGCTGCGATGAAGCGATGGCGACATGTACCACTGTCCGACTCGCCATTCTGCTCGTCAAGAATGGAGCGAATTTTTTTTAAGATGTCTCCCCAATGATAAATGGTACGTGTGGCGGATAGATATGCGCCACAGGATCCATGGCTCCGTTGCGCATTGGCTTAGTTTTGCAATGAGTTGCTTCGCTAAGGGCCGCGGGATTGAATCCCGCACGGAACAAGTATTTGTATGGCCTACGAATAATTGTTCCTGGTCTGTATGCGTGAAATTTATGTATGTAAATTGCCCCCATGATACAGGAGAAAATCCTAGTGTGCATGTAAAGTTTTAATTTTTAAAAAAATAGACAACTACTTCTACGTCAAAATAAAAAGGAATAATCATGTGTTGCCAGCCCAATCCCAAAGATCTAGATGTAAAGTCATGAAAAATGTCTCTGGTTCTTATTACTCACCACACACACAGCATTTAATTGCTTTTTCGCTCTGTTACTCTGTGATAACGTGGTCCTTCCCTGGTCGCATCAACTAATTCTTACGAGTAGAGTACTTCGTGTTGAAGCCATAATACAGTTTTAGTGTGGCTTCCAAAATATGTTGCCATTTTAATTATTTCATTTCTATCGAGCACCAGTTAGTTCAAATTCATCAACCTTATATTTATTAGGCCGGCCCTCACAATATTATAATGAAATAAAAAATAACATTTAAACAATTGTATTCGACAATTCTGATTATGCAAAATGAAAACATGGAGTTCGATGATCCTACACGATATTGTTTTAAAAGACATGCTTAAAATGAACCCGTCTGAATATTTTTAATTTCCGTATATCCCTCTGGGCTCAGAGTATCATTTTAAGGGGATGTTGTTAAAATTTTGTTTTTTCACGCTTTGTATTAGCTTGAGCTGTATTTATGCCTATTATGTATATGTATGAATGTAAATTCCATTCCCCCCAGCCGAATCAATAATCTGAAACTTTGCAGACGTACTTAAGAACCGATGACATGACTATGACCTAGTATTGGTGAACAATGCTAGTTGTTTTAGTATTTTTGGAATATATCATGATACATTTATCAAAATCGGATTTTATACGTTTTAAATTAAAACTTTTAACACTACCTTTCTTATCATTAGTAGTTAAAATCATACAAATATTAACGGTTTTTATGATGAAATCATACCTCATATTTATTATTCGTGTGGAAATAGTGGTGTAGTTTATAAAATGAAAATTAGCTCAAAGTTATTAAGCTTCAAACCAAGTATATATCTATATATACCATCCATATCATCTGGATGATTGGCGGTCCACCACTGCGATTTAGAAGAAGTTTTTTCCCTCGCACAACTTCTTTGTGGAATCGGTTACCACCAGCGATTTTTCCGGACCGATACGACTTAGGGACCTTCGAGAAAAGAGCCTACTCCTTTTTAAAAGGCCGGCAACGCATCTGCGATTCCCCTGGTGTTGCAGTTGTCCATGGGCGGTGGTAGTCACTTACCATCAGGTGAGCCGCATGCTCATTTGTCCCAAAAAAAGTAAATCACTAAGTTACTCGGCTTCGAAAATCGAAGAAACATATTCAATGCGAACGAAGTCGGCGGACACAGCTAGTAAATGAATAAAAAGTAAATAAAGCAATATTAATATTTTTTCTTCGATTTACTTATATTTCATAAACTTATATATATTATATTTCTTTTGTTTCAGACATTTAGATTTTCTCAGAACATCGTTTTGGAAATACGTAAAGTAAAATTACACAGAAAGTAATGAATAAGGATACCGAGGTGATTTCATAAGTCCTGATCTGAAAAATATTAGTTAAGCTATATATAGGTTAGGTAAAACAGAGCCCACTTTTAAGAACAATGAACATAATAATATAATATTATAATGTAAAAATAATACAAATAATTTCTATTATAAAACTGAGGTGACAAATGACTGAAATTATTGTTCGCCTGGTTCTGGCAGCCACCTTCAAACAAAGAAAGCTCTAGATGCATTGTCACCTCTGAAAACTATATATTTAATAATACTATTAATAAATATTTGAGTATTTTGTCAAACCAAAAAGTCTACTTAATTTCCTGTCTTTGATCATATTTTAAGGAAAGGTTTTCTTGAATGTAAGCTTTTAGCGGGAGTAGGATATTCGGTGCGTAAATCTAACATTTCGAGCAACATCCGGCGTTTGAACACGCCCTTTGCATTAGTTTTACCTTTTTCTTTATATCATCATATATCAGTCTTTTTTTACTACTTTATTTAAACATTTTTTACGATACGTGATTTTGGTTTTTAGTATAGAAATATCACCAGAAACAGAAACTTTTTTATTCTATATAGATTATAAATAATACTTATTGAAAGCCTTCTTTAATTTACTACTGATTCGGAAATAAATCTCTGTGCTTGCTTATAATCATGTATGTTACACAATCAAAAACATAATAACAGCTGGGAAGCGATCACTTAATTCGTTGATATTATTATAAACCTTTTTGTGGAGAAAAAACAATACATAATTTATTATTTGTTTTTTTGCAAATTAGTGTTACCAGACACTCCTCGCCTCTTCACATGCTCAATTATTAGAATGTTCGTAGAATATGATTACGAGAAGGAAAACTGTGCGATATTTTGTACCTGTCACCTGAGATTATTCTCGAGCTCCCCGTCTATAGCTCGCTGAGACACCTTGGGCTTCCTCATCCGGCAGATCCATAAGTCATCACTGGAAACACGCACTGGTTGTCCATCCCGTTTCCAAGTTTTGAAGTATACCCGCCGAGAAGGTGTGTCGTAATCTTCCGAACGCTACCCAGCCGAATCGAACCTGTTGATTGACCTCTCGGTCGAATTTCGACTTACCTCGTCGGACTATTTGTTCCAGTTCCAAGCATACTCGTCAACAACTTCGAGCATAGTGCTCCTAATAACTACTGCGATATACTAGGCATAGGTGTGACATCATGGACGTTACACATGATCTTTGTTTTGTCCATGTTCATCTTAATACCTATCCGTTGGGAGGCACTATTAAGGTCATTGAACATAGTGCTTAGGTACTCCAGCGATTCTGGCACAATGACTATATCGTGGGAAAAACGAAGGTGGGTAATTCACTCGCCATTGAAGTTAATACCGTATCCTTTCTAGTCCAGTAGGTTAAAAAGGTTTTCCAATGAAGTGGTAAAGAGTTTTGGGGATATAACATCACCCGGTATTACGCTTCTCTGCATTTGGATAGGTTTCGTAATCTGGTTCTGTTCTCGGATAGCCATCGTAGCCCTATTGTATTAACACTCCACCACGTTTATATACGAACAGTCAACTTGGCAATGCTGAAGGGACTGCAGTACCGCCTGAATTTCAACGGAATCAAAGGATTTCTTATAGTCCACATACGCAAGACAAAGTGACAGATTGTACTCTTTGGTCTGCTGTACAATTTGCCGAAGGATTTGTATGTGAGCTATGTATGTGGTGCTAAAGCGTTTTCGGAAGCCGGCTTGTTCCGGAGGCTGGAAGTCTTCTAAAATTATAATTAACGCTTACTAATTAGTATAAGTCAAATGTATAGGGGAGACCTATGTTCAGCAATGGAATTTAGTAGGCTGTAACGGTAATTAGTATAAATTCTATTATTTTTTACAAGTGACTGTCTCCATTAATCAAAGATTAAAAAAGGGTTACCAAGGAATTTTCCTTTGGGGTTGGTTGCTGTGGTCGATGACATCTAGATCATGTTCGATTAAGAATCAAAATACAGATGCGTTGTACCCCTGAGGACTAAGACGGAATACCTAGTTTCTAGTAAAAACGGTCTCCGTCTCTCTACACTCACCATACGAAACACAGCAAGCATTAAGATATTATTTTACGCTGCTATTCTGTGAGAACCTTGTCCATCCCCGGTCGGGTTAATCCATTCGTGCTACAGTTGTAATATAGCTACAGCATGGCTCTACCACGTCCAAACCTAAGTTGATTCTAAAATAAATTTATATTTGTAATTATGTTTTTTTAAATAACTTCATTTATTATTGTTATTCATTCTTTGAACTTTTTAATAAATTTTATATAATGTTTCTCCAGGAAAGAGTTCTGAAATAGTATAGTAGTATCATTAAAGTGAGTTTATATGATGTTTTAAAAATAAAGTGTGTTCCTATTATGAAAGTACAGGTACGTTGAACGCTTTTACAAATGCAACTTTCTTTTTATGAAAAACATTTTTCCACTCTCTCTTTATTTGTGCTCTATGCAATTTTTTTTTCTTCGCTATTTCACCTCTTGTGTGGCGTAAGCATGACCATGGGAAATTTCAGGTACGTACAATGGAGGATAAATGAATGTTCAGATGCATGAGACATCGGTTACTGCGAGCAGCAAGTATCATTTGATAATGCTTACATTTAATTATGGCAATAGCAGATATAGTGTTTGTCTTTGATACATTAAGTGAGCCAGCTAGGGGTTCTTAATTATTTTCGAGGGGCTCGTAACTGTAGCATATATTAAGGATCTTTCCCCTATTTACTGGCTAATAATACTTTCTCCGAGAAAGAGCTATGTCCAGCGTTGTATTATTACGATCTAATAAATAAGAACAACCTACTCATTTTAGTTGCCTACATAGTAAACGCTTAACAAGTCTGGCTGGCTGCACAGAGATTACCGTTACCGTTACAGACTATTAGTCCACTGCTGAACACAGGCCTCCCCTATTGATGAGACAAATAGGGGTATATTTGCCATGGTTGCCACGTTTGGCAAGCGGATTGGCAACCGCAGTTTTTATTTTTAGTCTTTATTAAAAAGACACTGCTGCCCATTTCCTGGTTTGTTTTCTTCTGTGGTCTCTTGCGACATCCACGGGATTATGTGTGGTAGTGGTTATGTACACCGCCACTACACGGCGTTGGCAGTTGGCATAATCATTAATAAACTCCTAACCATTATTCGCGCTACGTTTTATGGTTGATATTATTAAACCCTACAATGAATTTCCTCTGTACGATACAGTTTCCCTACACTTGTGGGCGTGTATGTCGGTCAAAGTCCAAATAAAATAACGGAATGTCGAAACTTTTTATTGTTGTACACTTTCTATCATTAGTAGGTGCCGCAATGTAAATAGAGTAAGTACAGTTTGTAGCTAGAAGAAGGCAATTAAGAGAAGAAAATGAGCGGACAGGGAGGAAGTTCGGAAACAGATAAATAATATAATTATTGTCTACAACTAGCTTAGCCGTCGCGTAATCCAAGCGCTCAGAAAAAACAGATCAAAGTGACATACGTCCCGCGTTGTGTTCGATAGCAGTCAGTATCTTTTGTACATTATTTTTATTGTGAGTTTGTGATATGTAATATAATGATATTACATTTCTCAAACCATTGAAGTAATTTGTACTACGTACTAGAAGAAATGACGAGACTTTGTTGTTTGCAACTCGCGTTAGAGCTCGCGGGCTCATATTAGCATGTTATGTAGCGAGGAAAGTAGGCAGAGAAGTAGAATGGCAACAATACTCGTCATGCCGCACGTCATGCTCCTCATCATGCCTATCGATCCCCGTTTTATTGTGTTTTTGGGCGCGAGTCAATGGACTGGCAATGCAAGCGCGAGTGGCCGGCCACATAATCGGACAAACCTTAGTGTGATTACATACAGTGCGAACGCAGTCTGAATCGAGCGCTTGTTACGGAAGCGTCGTTCTATCGCGATGAATAGATGTCATCCACCATCTCTGTTGGCAAAGATATTATTACGTATATTTTTTTTTATGACATTGATATAATTAGCTATACCTACTAAATATGCAAATAGCGTGCACGCTACCACAGTTTCAACATCCATTGTTGCAAACGCAAGTAGCTTAGTGCGGAGTGTCACGATTAATTGCGCGAGTAGAGCCGTGTGTGGCCTGAGAGCGCAACATCGCGGCAGCGCGAGGAGCAGAGCGATGAGCAACGCGAGGAGCATAATGTGGCGGAGCCATTAAAAATGTGCTTTGTGCCTTCTTTTAAGCGTTCTGCACAACCGCACAGATATTGTTCACAGTGTATTTTCTAATACATGGTACATATTACCTCAATGCCCCAAGCTAATATTAATATGAAAAGGACACAGGAAGCTAATAGTATTTATGCTATGCTAAACGTAATTTAAAAATATCAAAAAATATAACAAATAAACATAAAAATATGTAAATGTGCATAACAAAATAAATTGCAATAAATTTACATAGTATGAAAAAGAACAGCCATACAGGGAATATAAATTATTTGTAAAATAATCGAAGAAAAGTTTCGCAAATTCCTCTTGTATCAATATTTTTGGACGATCTTCAAAGCTCCCAGTTTTCCCATCCGCGAATACACTATAGTTGGGCATGAAATCTGCCTATACACCATGTGTGTATTTAAAGTTTAAGTAAATAAGTAATATATTTCTAAAATTATATATATAGGGCACACTGATATTTCTTTTTAATAGGGCCATGATTTTTTAAGACTTTAAAATTCACGCAGTCCGCAAGAGTGTACTGTTCGCCTTCAATAATGCTTTTGGTAGCAAAGTATCTCATTTCAACACTGTAAGGCGTTGGTACGCAGAATTTTATCGTGGCCGTGTACCTCTTCATGTTGAAATTCGTAAAGATCGACCCTCGACACACACATCGAATGTGATTCCAGTTTTAGTCAGTTTTTGTAATGCTTTACCGAACAATAAATGTTGTTATATATTTTCTATCTCGAGTTATTAATATTAGCAGGTTATGGGCCCAGATACAGTCCATATAATTAAATAGATAGAAAATTTAATATTTATTGTTATAAACTATCAAACATTATTGTTAAGAATAAGTTATTTGCGAGTATCATCCTGAAAAAATGTCTAGGTCTAATCTACAAATTCATAAATTAGCCGGTTGGAATAGTTATTCCAAGTGGAAGTTTGCCATGAAATCCTATCTCTATCACGAAGGTTAGTTGTAATAACATGGCACAAGAGAATGGGTCATTTAATCTTAGCTGATGTTAAAAGGTTAGAGACATATGCTGAGGGTATAACTATCATGTTGTGAAGCACTATCATATATATATCATGTTATGAAGCAAAGCAAACACGATTACCGTTTCTACATTCTGGTTCGACAGTAAAAGCATTACTAGAAATAGTACATACTGATCTGTGTGGTCCGAAGGAGACACCATCTGCTGGTGGTGCAAAGTACTTCATAACCTTGACAGATGATATATTTTATTGTCGTAAAGTTTGTGTTTATCTTGAGTGTGCGCAGGAATTGCATAAAATAATTCCTCCCTCTCCCTTCCACCATCGGACTACCAGACGTTCGGCCAGTCTCCACCCTTTCCTTGTTGACTTACCACGAATTCGAACCAGACGGTTCGCCACGTCATTCATCATGCGTACAGCAAAAGAGTGGAATAAGTTGCTAGCATCTGACTTTACATCCGATTACAGTGTGGGTGTCTTCAAGGCAAGAGTGAATAGGCTTTTGTTAAGTCACTGCGATTCAACATCTTAGTCTATATCACCACTTACCATCAGCGGGTATCGTAGATAAGTGCGGACTTAGTAGAATATTAAAAAATAGAATATTGTAATAGAGCGTTTCCTGATTTTCTAGCAGCTTCTGGCATCAAACATCAGACCAGTACTCCATATAAGCCTGAGCAAAACGGGCTAACAGAGCGCGTGAGTAATGCATGTTATTTGAATCTAAGCTGAATAAACAGTTGTGGACAGAAGCAGTCACTACTGCTGCCTATGTCATCAACCAATCACCTTCACGGGTTTTAGTAGAGGTTCCGATGGGTATCATTCTAGGACTAAGCATATAGGCACCATTTTGTACGTGATAAAATTGTTCAAGGGAACATTGGTGTTCAGTATATAAAGACGAATGAAATGGTAGCTGATGTTCTTACCAAAGCAACTCCATTCTCAAAACTGGCTTATTGTGCTTTTAAGATGGAGTTGATTCCTGTTTAAGGGAGGATGTTGAAATAGTAAACATAAATACTTAAAATCCCTAAACGAAACATTTAAGTAGTCTCCATATTTGTATTTATGAGGTTACGGAATGTGATTCCGAACAGAGATTTTGACAGGAGATGAAACATGGATATGTTATTGGTTCCCACAAACAAAGCAACAGTTTTCTGTATGGGTGTTCGAAGGCGTCAGCAAATCAACAAAGTTGAGGTAGGCATAAACAGTGAAAAAAAAAGATTGCATTTTTTTTCTGGGACTGATTTCTGTCTGCACGATCTCACTTGAAGAGCAAAAGAAAGTTAATGCTGAGTGGTACACCACCATTTGATTGCTAAGTATCTTTCAAAAAGTTAGGAAAAAATTACCAAGAAGTCGCGGCGCACACCCCGAACAAGATAGTTATTTTTGGCTTCTGAAAAGGTGGAGCTCGTGGCCCATCTCGTACATTGTCCAGACCTCG